AATATCTGACAATTAGACTTCAAACTAAAACCAATCAGAAGAGATAAAGAGGGCCACTTCATTCTGATTAAAGGAACAATTGACCAAGAAGATATTACAATCATGAACACATATTCACCAAACTCTGGTGCACCCAACTTCATAAAATCAGTACTACAAGACTTTAAAACCCAGATTAATTTCAACTCATTAATAGTGGGGGACTTCAACATCCCATTGTCTCCATTAGAGAGGTCAAGACAGAGAATTAACAGAGAGATAGCTGAATTAAACAATATCATACATCAAACAGGCCTAACAGACATCTACTGAATATTCCACCCAAGCACCAAAGAATATACTTTCTATTCAGTGCCCCACGGAACCTCCTCCAAAATCGACCATATGCTGGGGCACAAAACAAACTTCAATAAATACAAAGGGATTGAAATAATTCCATTCATTCTACCAGACCACAACACAATAAAGCTTAAAATCAACACAGGAAGAAACCCTAGTAACTACATGAACACATGGAGATTAAACAACACACTCCTGAATGATGAATGGGTCAAAGGAGAAATGAAGAAAGAAATAGAAGTATTCCTGGAACTAAATGGAAAGGACAATACAACACAACAAAAGCTCTGGGACACATTGAAAACAGTCCTTAGAGCTAAGTTTATAGCTCTAAGTGCCTACATTAAAAAAATCAGAAAGATCACAAATAAATGACTCAACATTGCAACTGAAGACACTTGAAAAGCAACAGCAAATGAAATCTGAACCCAGCAGACAAGAAGAAATAACAAAAATCAGAGTAGAAATTAATGAAATTGAAACAAAGAAAACAATACAAAGAACCAGTCCAAGAGCTGGTTCTTTGAAAAGATAAATAAGATTGACAGACCGCTAGCCCAGTTAGCCAAAAGAAAAAAAGAGCACCTCCAAATCAACAAAATCAGAGATGAAAGGGGAAACATCACAACAGACACCAAAAAGATCCAGATTCCACAGGCACTTTTAAAAACCTATATGCTACTAAATTTGAAATCTTAATAGAAATGGATGGGTATCTAAAGCATGGGAACCACAAAAACTAAACCAAGAAGAGATCAACACCTTAAACAGACTCATAACACATAAGGAAATTGAAACAGTAATACAAAACCTCCCAGCTAAAAAAAAGCCCAGGACCAGATGGATTTACAGCAGAATTCTACCAGACATTTGAAGAAGATCTACATACAATACTACTTAATTTATTCAAAAAGATAGAAACTGAGGGAGAACTTCCAGTCCTTCTATGAAGCCAGTATCACTCCAATATCAAAGCCAGGTAAAGAAACAACCAAAAAAGAAAACTATAGACCCATATCCTTAATGAATATAGATGCAAAGATTCTCAACAAAATACTTGCAAACTGCATACAGACACACATCAAAAAGATCATCCACCAGGATCAAGTCGGCTTTATTCTGGAGATGCAGGGA